ATGGGGCCCGATTAGATGGGGCCGGCAGATCGCGCCGCGTCGCGGCTGCATCGGCGACGACGGCAGTGCATCGGCGCCGCCCGCGTGGAGGGGGCCGGGCTCTACATCGAGCCGCGTCCCCGATGCGTCGGCGACGCGGCGCGACCCTCCGACGCCATCTGTCCGGGCCCCCTCTGGGAGTCAAGTCGAGCACTCCTTGCGCCGGGCGACGCGCAGCAGGGGTGAACAAACAACAACAACACCAACAACAACAAACGCAACAACAACATGCACGATCAAAACAAGCGTAGCGCCTTCAACATCCAACCCGCGCCTTCGCCGCGCGCCCCCCTTGTCGAGCTGCGCCACCCTCCGGGTGGAAGTGCACGGCGAGTCGCTCGCGGGGGCATGCGACCTTGAAGCGCAAAATTCCCCCCCCGCGCGTGCCTCCGTCTTCTCGGGCGGGCCGCCTTCCGCAGCTCCAAGGCGCCCGGCTCGAGCGCCGAAAACCTCGCAGGATCTAGGCCTGATCGGCGCGCTGGCTGGCCCATGTTGAGCATCTGCCGCGTTGCGATGCAATCGATGAGCTTCGGTCGCTCGTCGAATCCGAGAACAGTGGCATTCGATGCTCTGCTGGTGTGCGCCCGAAGTAGTCTGCAAATCCTCCTGGCGCAGCGATTCTGGAAGCTATCCAGCCGTCGTCAGCCTGATTGGTTCGGACGCGCAGCAAAAAAAACGCGCGTCGACTTGGGCGCCGCACAGGCGTCGAATCTGTGTGCTTTCTGGTTTCTCGTCGCGGAAGCATGAGGCCATATGGCGTCTAATATTTTGAAACCTTGCATGGTTGCCCCAAGTCTGTGGCTCAATTCAGAGGCGCATCTCACGTCTGCAGACAGCGTCGCGCCCAGGTGGGCGAGGGGCTGCTGGTTGACTGTCGACGCGCCAACGTTGTGCGCGATGCCGTCCTCCGTCCGCACCTTTATGAGCTCCACTTTCTTCCAGTTGATGTGCAGGCCGTAGCTCGCCCCGGGCTTCTCGACATGCGTCATCGGCCCCTGCGTCGCGCCCGCGTTGGCCCCCACGAACAGGGCGTCGCCCGCGCGCGCCAAATCCCAGACCAGCTGCTCCGGCCCCAGTCCACCTCGTCGTTCCCGCAGTTCCCTATGGGCATCGTGTGGGAGCGTTGTCATCACTACTGTGAACACGAATGGTAACAGCGCGCGCCCTTGGCAAATGCCGTGCTCCTGCGCCCCGCAGCTTGGCGCGACATCGTCGACCACGACACCGCAGCTTTCATATTTGACAGCGACTATGTTCACGAACCGGCCCGGACAACCAAACATCCGCAGGGAATTCGAGAGCACCTCCGGCAACGCGGAGTCACAGGCACTCGCCCATTCCAACGCCAAGAAGACACTCTTGCCATCTCGACCAGTCAGCGTTGCTTCAAGAACCCGCCGAAAAATGAATGCTGCTTCTGCTGTGCCACGATTAGATCGGAATCCACATTGTGTCTTCCATGCGCACTGCTCCGCGCCAGCATTTTTCATTCGCTGCAGCATTACATGTGCGAACGTATTCTACCCGATTGGGAGGAAACACATCGGGCGATAATAGTTGCAGTCCGCAAGATCACCTGTCTTGTAAACCAGTCTCACCCTCGGCTTGCGCTCCGTATCTGGCACGCGCTACGTCTCCCATACCAGACTGCAGATTCGAGTAATCCATTCAATCGTCGGTGTGCCATCCTCGCGTGCTGCTCCCCAGAATTCCGGCGGTATGTTGTCCATGCCCCCGGACCTGCCTTGCCGAAGTTTGTTCGCTGCCTTGCTTCCTTCTGTCTCTGTGATGGCGACAAGGACAATCGGCAACTCGTTCTCGTACAAAACATCCGTGGACATTGCTGTCGTGTAGGGCGCGCTGCCCAGTGCACCCTCTAAGTGCACCGCCACAATGTCGGCCGTCGCTGTCCACGAGCTGGTCCGCGCCATTCTTGAACCTGCTTCATTGCGGGCAAGATTCTCTTCTCGAAGTTTCCAGATCTCGCCCCAGATCTCCTTTCGCAGTCTGCTCCTGCAGCCAAGCGGCCCGATCGCTTGCGACTGCTTCTCTGATTTTGTTCGTCAGGGTCTTCTTTTCTGCCATGTCTCCGTTCTGTCAAGCTGCAACATGACGACGTATGATCTCCAGCGTTCGAGGCCGTATCCACGGTTTCCTCGGGCGTCTGGTCTGCCGCGGGAGGGCGCGCTCCAAGGCGTACAGGGATCCGTCCGCGAGCTGGCCCCGCGCCAAGTTCACTTCGTCGTGATCCGGCGTCGAAGCGGCGAATTCCTTCAATGCATCGGCAAGCTCATGTGTGCAACTATGTCTGGCGGTGACGTCTTTCAGCTTCGATGCGTCTGTCCTGGCAGCCCCGGTTTTGGGCGGCATGTTTTCCACCGCTGCACGGGCGCAAATTTGCAGTAGAAAATGGTTTAATGAAAGCGGCACGCCTCGGAATACGTGCAGACAAGCGCACCATGAAACCAAGACTGGGCAAATGACGGGCCGCAGAGGCAAGGACACAAGGGTGCCCTAGATGACGGCGCGCGTCCTTACTAGGCGCGTTGACTGTAACATCCATCGGGGAAGTGGTTATCCAATCCACTGCTTCGCAAGCGGGCCGCCCCACGCTGTAGTTGGTAGTTGTGAAGATGGGAAGCATGTGTTGGAAATTCGCATGCCCAGCTGCGCGCGCACCTCCACCAGCATGTGCCTTTTCGCGTCGCTTTGGCACGTCTGTCCCGAACGCTGAAACACACATGGTCCGACGAACTGTGTTTCGTCCTGCAATCGGTCATATAGCTTGGCATTGAAATCTTCCAGCACCATCTTGGGGCCATGCAGCGACTGATTATGGACGAATTCCCCAAAATCATGATCGAACGATTGCCGCTTCGGGAGCTCGTGACCACTGTGTGCGCATAAGCTGATAATATCACAGCATTGCCATCCAAAACACGTAGTTTCAATGGAACAATTCGGTCATAACCTTGGCAGAATCCAGGAACGGACTTCCTGAAGTCGGGGCCCACGATCAAGCCAACTCCCGCCTTGTTCTCATCCTCGCCATTGCCCGCGCCGCCGGACAGCACGACGAGGTACCCAGTCTGTCACAAACGTGTCTGATTTGGACATCTAAGTTTTCTGAATACACATAACTTTGACATCGCAACGTTGCATTGGGATCTCAAACTCCACCTGTTTGCTTTCCGTCTAGGCTTGGAGTTGTTGCCGCATTTCGTCATCGGTCTGGGGATTGGCGTATGAACCCTCGGGTGTCTAGCTCTCGTAAGTCGCCATGCGCATCTCGATGCTCTCGAGACGCTTTTCCATTGCACGCACCTTGGTGTCGAAAATCCCGCCCAACTCAGTCACCTGCCGCTCGAGACCAGACATCGTTTTTCGGAGGGGGTGAACCTCGTGCTTCAGTAGGTTGGCGATCTGCTCCAAAGTCGGGGCCTGCAATAGCTGCGAGTCAAGGGGGTCGGTGTCGGCGGTTAACGAAAGGGGAAGTGAAAAGGAAAAGGCCTTCTCAGCAGGCGGCGGGGCTTCTCGAAGCCCTCCGGCTTTTGTAAGAATATATTCCGTGTCTTCGGGAAATGCCGAGAACACTTCTCAGAAGGCTGGGGAACTTCCGAGCCTTCTGAGAATGCCAGCCCCCTATCACTTCCCCCCTGGGCTCGCCGTCGACATGAGGGGCAGCGATAGGGGGGACAAGCATAGGGGGGGGACACATCGACCTGGAATCGGCGATACATCGTCAATAAATCGTCGATGGGCCTGTGATAGTGACTCCACACGTTTCTGGTCGCATTGGGGCTACCGGGCCCCTATTGGCGATCAATGGGCGATTCGGTGTAGATGCATCCCCCCTACCTACCCCCTTTTCCTCTTGAGGTGGAAATGTAGAAGAAGAGGTCGCGAGATAACATTGGCGCTGCTGGACGGCGTCAAGACGAGCTGCGTGCAACAACCAGGAAGAAAACGACGTATCCATGTTGAGTGGGACCCGCGCTCGCGGAAATTTGATGGGAGTGCGCGGAAAAGCGCAGGGATCATCATGGGAAACTGATGGCCGAACCCCCGCTTCCCCCGTAGAATCTTAACGCGGGCGGGTTCGGTGGTCCGCGGATCCGATTTCTTCCGTTTCCCCGTTCTAGTTTAAACATATGAAGTTTAAATGAGGTAGACATCGGATCCACCGTAAAACATTAGACTGGACGCGGATCCAAAAAATCCGAAATCGGATCCGCGCAGACGGAAATCGGATCCACCGAAACAGAAACCAAAGCCAAAATTGGATCCCCGAGGACTTCGTTGGATCCCACGGTGGTTGTTCCATACGCGTCTTTTCAACACTTGAAACAGTCTTCCCGGGCCCAAGCGGAAAAAACCTTTGTCCAGGGGATGTATGCCCATCCCCCTGTCGATGCCCCAGGCGACAATGGCATGAGCAGGACCGACCGCGCTAGAACTCCCATTGACCTACCACGACCTGCTCTTAAAATGAACGGATGCTCCTAAAACGAACACGCGACTCTTATAACAGAAGGCAGATGCATCAAAAACAGACAACATCAACCAGAAATGCTCGAGGAACCTCTCGTGCAAACCACAAGACGCTCTTTGAACTTTCTTTCGTGGCCCACTTCGGGGGCGGCCAAAGGGGGGGCGTCCATGAGGGGGGGCGCACATCATGGCTGGCGGCATGTGCGCGGCCCAAAGAGAGGGCCACGGACGTGATGAATTAAGAAGGGAGGCCATGACATCTAAGAAAGTATCATGGCCCACGCCATGATATCCACCCCTCCCTAGCCATCACCCCCCCCCCTGCAGCCCACGAGTTGCTTGAGTGGCAGGCGCGGCTCCAAGCAGCGGTGGCGTCGGCGCCGATTCCGGCAGGCCGCTGGCGGAGGCCGCGGGCACGCGCAGGGGAGGCGGGCGGGCAGCGGCTGCGGCGCGGGCGGGCCGCAGGGGGCGCTCCGGGCAGCCGTCGAGCCGCCAGGACCGGATGCCACGGTACCTTCATGCAGCGCAACCGGGGGAGGAGGAGGAGGAGGAGGAGGAGGAGGAGGAGGAGGAGGAGGAGAGGAGGAGGAGGAGGAGGAGGAGGAGGAGGAAGAGGGAGAGGGGGAGGAGGAGGGGGAAGGAGGGGGAGGAGGGGGAAGAGGACAGGAGGAGGAGGAGGAGGAGGAGGAGGAGAGGAAGATGAGGGGAGGAGGAGGAGGAGGAGGAGGAGGAAGAGGAGAGGAGGGAGGAGGAGGGAGGAGGAGGAGGAGGAGGAGGAGGAGGAGGAGGAGGAGGAGGAGGAGGAGGAGGAGGAGGGGGGAGGAAGAGAAGGAGGAGGAGGAGGAGGAGGAGGAGGAGGAGGAGGGGGAGGAGGAGGCGTGCTCCCACAAAGAGGGTCACGTTCCACAGCCTGCCGCTATCTTGCCAAGGCCCTCGCCCTGGCGTCCCTTTGGCAGATCAGTCGGAGCCTGCCTTCAGCAAGCAGGCGGGCGCGCGCGAAGCTCTGCGCCCCTGCAAAACGAAACTTATTATATGGCTATGCTGCGCGCCTCCCCATTGTTGAGAGGCCGAAAGAACAAGAGGATATCGACAAACACCTCCACTCACCACCATTCAGGGATACTAGGCAGGTGAGATCGCATCACTTCGAAAAGTACCGGACATTGCCGATAGTGGATGATCTGATCCGCCCCAAGACAGTGACACCCAAACCTGCATCCAAGGGTGGGCTGGCGGTGCCCCCGAGGAGGCGTTCCACGCGTTGCAAACGCTGCGCAATAAATGCAACTGAATGGGAACGGCGAGGATCTGACCGACAGATCTGGAGCACTAGTCAGCCGAGGGGCCCCGAAACTCGCCAGGGAAACGCTCGTGCCAATACCTCGACCACTCGTGCACGAGTTCCTTGGAACTTCTGAATAGGAATTGGCTTCGTACCAGACGGGCGATGGTTTTCTGAAGCCCTGATTCGACAAGATGGGGTGCTTCTGGGACCTTCGAGAGCTCCTTGAAATTCTGATGCGTCATGACGACAAGCGGCTTGCAATGCACAGGATGATGAGCGGCGTCGGCGTGAGCTCCCCCGTCGTCGAGGGCACCCTTGATCTTCTCAATGCAAGCAAGGCAAACTGAAGACGCACGCATGGCGCGATATGCTGCAGCCCTCGCTGCATGCTTCATGGGATGGGCCGAGCAGAGACCTGATTATTGCATATGGCGGTGAGGCTGTACAACCTATCATCAGGGATGGCGCGCGTCGGGGAGCGCGTCAGGCTCTGGAGTCCTAGATGCACGCGCCCCTCGACATCGGCGGTGGGTGGAACGAATTGGGCAACAAAGAGAAGCGCTGTAACTGCGATCTCGTGCTAAACTTCCACTGGGGGCGTGCGCCCCAGATTGAGCGACTTGATGAATCGACGACGCTCTCTGAACTTGAAAATAGGGCCGGCCCAAATATCTTCTTGCGCCTCGATGCCACGCTAAACCCGAAGGTAGCGAGCGCTCGACTCCATTCCCAATTGGGGAAGATTGATACGAACGTCACGACACTTTTGAATCTCGGTCTGTCGGTCGAAATCGCGACAAAACAAGATGCCCGTTCTCTCAGGGCCCAGGGCCGGTCCAGAGACAGATGCAGCGAGGATGAAGACGAGGAGGACGCGCGTGAAGATGAGGAAGACATGCACGAAGACCCTGCGTCGTCGGCGAACGCGCGGCGCAAATGGGCAGGGCGCGGCAGCCTCAACCACCGCAGCCGAAGAATAAGGTCCATCCCAGAAGCGAGTGCCGAGCCAGATAGAGGACGCCCTTGCTTGACACCACTCGAGATTGCGAGCGAGCAGTGAGCCCGTCCCCCAAGGGCGACGGTGGTGCGCGCACTGGCATAGAGAGACTCGATTGCAAAAGCCACGAACGAGGGAAGCTGCATCTCATTCAAAACGTGGAAGAGCCACTCGTGGCGAAGGCTAGGTGGTGCCTGCGGTGTCCCTCGATGGCGCCAGCGGGGCCCCTCCGCTGGATCCCAGCCCCGACGGCCGCGTGAGTCTCGAGCGCGATCAGGCAATCTATCACGTTTCGTCCCTTAATGAAGTCTGGACCCCGAGAGCGGTGTCCATGCAGAGCATCTTCAGGGGGCAATTAATCGCGATGGCCGCGTTCTTATTCGGGGAAATCGAAAAAGCAACCGGCTCAATGGTCTCAGGGGCCCTCCGGAGCTCGGGCTCGCCCCTATCCGTGGACTCCTTGGGGGGGGTGCAAAGTTGTTGACGTTGAAGCATTCGGGGGCCTGGCCAAAATCCATCGCGAGCTCGTGCATCCGAAAAGCGGCCCATCCGACAAAACGGCCCCCCTTGGTCCAAGCGGAGTAGCAGGGCCCATCAGGGCCCGCAGCCGAGCCCCGAAGTTGGCCCCGATCAGGAGCGCGCCGCATGCGACCCGAGAGTTGGTCACGAGTGGCAGGCTGAGGGGAGAAAGCGTCGCGGGCGGCGCCCCGGCGGGCAGCGCGTGCGCAAGCTCCAGTACCTGCGGACGGTATTGCGTTGCCCTGGCATCCGGCGCCAGCGAGCAGCACTCTGCGATTCTTAGGGGGCCTCGCGGAGACCATGCGCTGAAGACGCGCAGCACAATGCTCGATATATCGAGGAGAGGCTTCGGTGTGATCTGTCATCGAAGCGGATTCGGATTGATAGCGCGCTGCTGCAATCTGAAACATGTGTTCATGCAGTGCTCGCTGGTCGTTCCACTGACATACAACTGAGTCCAGGACATCGAAGGGCCGACGGGTGGCTTCCGCGCCTACAAAGTGCGAGAGGTACGCTTGCGCATGGCACGGATTGACTGCGACCAACCACTGCATGTGCTGCTCAGGCGACTCAGGCGGCAGTTCGGATCGCCCTTGCTGGACAGTGCGCCCAGCTTCGTGCCTCAGACAGGTGGGCCCTGGGATCATCGACGGGACATTTGACTCGCGCGCGCTATGTTCAGCAATCGGCCCGTCGAGCAAATGGGGGATAACGGATGCTTCGAGACCCATGATGTCACTTTGGAAACCTTCGAGTGCCCCCGAAATTGAAACGCAGATAAACGGGGGCATGATCACTGGGTAGGTCGGCCTTGCAAATATTCCAAGCGGCGCCAGAAGTCGGCTTCGCCTGCGAATGACTGGGCATATATCCGTTCGAGCCTGGAATCGCCGGCAACTTTCCCGTCTCTGGCGGCGCGGTGGGCTGGGGTCGCCCGGGCGCGCTCGGCGATCCGAGGCGCGAGGGCCCAGGTCCTGGAGGCCAGAGAGTCGGCGGAGTTTGGTCACTGGCCCTGTCGACCCTTTGAGTCCGAGCTCGCAGCAGGTAAAGCCGCCGACAAGGAAAATGCCCCCTGGGCCGCATTGAGGAAGTGGGCGCTCTGAGCCAGCACATCGATCTCCCGGCGCTGGCGCTGGACAGGGCCGAGATGCAAGTTGAGAGTGGCGAGCTGGGAAGATTGCGACTTCGAAGTGGGGGCGATGAGACGGCCGGGAATGAGGGCGGCAGGGGGGTCGGCGACGAGCGTGGGCAGCAGAGACGTTGCCGCCAGGATGGCTACGCCTCCAGCAGCCACCTCGGAGCAGGACGAGCAATGTGCCTCGAAGGACGGGAACTCGGCGAGCAACGATTCTGGGCCGCCATCGTGCCCGCGGGTTTCTAGGAGACAAACAATGCGGTTGTTTCTAGGATGTCGAGGGAGGCGGCCCCGAGCCTTCTGCTGAACATCATCGCCATCGCCAGAAACTGCCCCGAACAGCGCATGGCAGCTCCACGCGACAAGGTTCGTTCCACGCCCGTGGGGGAGGGGGGGGGGGGGGGGGCGGCGGGGGGCCGCTAGGGCCCTGCAGTGGAGGCTGCTGGCCCCCAGACGACTTAACGCGGGCGATGCGCGCTTGGGGGGGGGGGGGGGGGGGCCCGCCGAGACAGCAGGGGGGGGCTGCGAGACAGAGCTAGGCGAGCGGCAAATTTCCAAACAGAGCTAGGCGAGCGGCATCTCAGTAGGCGGAGGCCTGGGCGGCGCCCTGGGCGGACTCAACCATCCAGTTGGCGGTGGCGGTGGCGGCGCGCAACTCGCCGAGCTGGGGCTGGATCGGCTTGATTTCGAACTGGCCAGCTGCGGCTTCGCGCAGCTTGAATAGCTCCCAGTGGTCGTCGGCCGTGGTGATGCTGAAGACCACCTTGAACGGTTTGGTACCGAGCTTCATGTCCGCTTCCCACAGCTTCTCATTCCCGAAGCGCTTGCGGACCAGCGGCCGCAGCGCACTGGGGACTCTGTACTTCTGGCGAGCGGCCAACAGCATGTTTGCGTCGCGTGCATAATGCATGCACAGGTCGATTACGGTAGTCGGACTAGTTGACAGGATTGGCAATGATTTCGGCGTGGAACTCTCTGGTGTGGGCCTCGCTCTCGGAGGTGACTGGGGAAGCTTTGGGTACTGTGTGGAAATGACCAAACATGTTGCAAGTCAGGTGGGGCGGGGTTATGTCCTTCAGCTGCTGGAACACTGTGCGACGATGTGGCTCGGTAACAGGCCAAGGGGGGGCCGCAATCCATTGCCGTGCCTCGTTGCTATCATCACGGAGAACGTCGATGACTGGAACATCGAGCGAACCAGAGGAGGATGCAGCAGTCGTCCTCCTTGATTTGGCGGAAGGGGTCCCTGTATACCTGGCGGCGGATGATGACCGAGAGATCTTGCGCATCGACTTCTCCAGACCGGGGATACGTTCCTGCATCTGCTTGGCGGGGGAGGACGGCGTGGCTGCGCCATCGCCTTCTCCATCGACTTGGAACATATGGGCGTCGAACTTGCCCTGCTCAATCTTCGAGGTGCGGGGGTCGAAAGCGCGAGTCGTCTCCTCCTAAATGGCGCTGGCGTCTGCGAAACCCGCCTGCGTGGACATCTGGAGGTCGATGGTCTTCTCGTCGAACTCCTCACCGACAGTGAGGCGTCTTTCGACATCGGAAACGTCGGCCCTCGTCCCCTTCATC